AAAAAAAGTGACTTTTATGGAATTCATTCCATCTTTTTATTTTTTTAACCCTTAGTCCTGTCCCCTATGTGCTCTATTTCCCTAGAGTTAACTCACATTGAGGCAGGTTAGTTAGGAATGATTTGTGAGTTTGTGTCATCTGTGACTAGTGATGAATCTCCAAGGATGAGAGCCACAGGCACTCCAAACCCATAGTTATCACCTCTACTTACTCTTGCCCCACATGTAACTCTTCAAGCCAGGGCTTGTATTAATCTACCTTTCATTACTCTAATTAAAAAACTGAGGCAGGCTAACTTAATAAATAAAATAATCTTATTTAGCTAACAATTCTGGAGGTTCAAGAGCATGTACCTGGCATGAGCTCAGCTCTGGAAAGGACGCTCTTCACTGAGTCACATTAGGGAAGGAGCTCATGTGAGAGGGAGGGAACACATCTTGAAATAAGAAGCCAGAGAGGCAGGGCTCTCACAATCTCTTCCAAGGGCACATCTTCAGTTGACCTCAGGACCCATCTCTTAATCCATACCACATTACCACACTAAGAATCAACCTCCCAGCACACTTTGGTTAGGGGAACACATTTAAAACATATTAAACCATAGCAGGGCTTCATCTTTAAAGTCCAAAGATATTTGCATTGGAAGAATGTCTCCTAAGTTGGAACTATGAATTCTCAGGGTGGGCTATGGAGAGAGTCAATGCCCACAGCCCATTGGAATCAATCTGTTGTTATTAACTCCTATTCCAAAGGGCTTTTAAAAGAGTGAAGAAATTAGTCTTACTTATTCTCAACCTTTACATAATTATGAATTCTCAAAATCTTGTGACTCTAAGTCAGAAATGTTTTAACTATCATGGAGATTTAGAGCTCTTAAAAACAGCCCAGTTTGCTAAGTACCACTTTATCTTTTGTTGTTAACCAGTGAGTCTCAAGGAAACTTGTTTGTCTTCCCTAATGGTAATGGGAAATGCTATTTTAATGTTTTTTTTTAAAAATGGATAGATTATGAAGTGCAATGCAAAAATTAGGTTTTGAAGATAAAATACCCAATTTGCAGAAAGCCATTTAATCTAAACTGACATCAGGTCTATTGAGTCTTTTTTTCCTCTGCCTGAAAAAACTTTTGGTGGAAATGTTTGAGGAACAGCATTCTAATTAAATAACCTATCATCCTTAACTTGACATGATAGCTAGGGCAGAATCTTATCATGTTTAAGAAAGATGTTAAGCTCTTGCACCCTAACTCCTAAAAAGCACATTGTATTTTTGGAACCATATTATGTTTTTGCCTGATTTAACTTGATGTTCTTTCCAAGAAAGTAATTTTTACAGTTCTTGTTAAAAAAAAAATTACCTGGTCGCCTCATTTCCTATGACTGCTTGGTTGTGATTCCCAATGCAATTTCTGGCACCTGAGCTATACTATTTGGTTTTCAAAT